TTAAACTCTTTCAAATAAATGTAAAAAGTATTTTCTAAATGCTTTCATAGAAGATGAGGTATTTGTAGAATAATAAGATGGTTTTTTAAACCTACACTTTCTAAATCATATTATAAACTCACTAAAACTTTACAGGTTTGAACCAAGCTCTAAGAGCTTGGTACGAATGTCTTATTAAATTCCTCTTAGAAAATGATTTACAAGAGAAAAAATTGATAGCACTCTATTCATAAAGATAAATGGAAAAGAGATCTTGACTGTTTAAATATACGTGGATGATATAATCTCTGAAGTAACTAATAAAAATATGTGTAAATTTTTTTCAAAAAGCATGTAATCCAAATTCAAAATGAGCAAAATGGAAAAAGTCGAGTATTTTTTAAGCCTATAAATTAAACAATTAAAAGAAAGAATCTTCATAAATTGAAGTAATATATCAAGATCTCTTTAAGAAATATGACATGAAAAATGTTGAACCAAGTTCAACTCTCATGGGCATCACTAAAGCTTGACAAAGATTAAAATAGGAAGTCTATCGATCACAAACTTTATAAAGGAATGATAGGATCTTTTCTTTACCTCATAGCAAGTAGATTTAATATCATGCTTAGTGTGTACATTAAAAGGATATTCAAGTACTTAAAAAACATAGAATCCTTAGGATTTAGTATTCAAGAAGAAGCTCTTTAAATTTAAATAGATATAAGATGCCAATTTTAGAGGTTGTAGAATTAATGGAAAAAGAACTAGTGGAACTTGCCAATTCTTAGGGAACATGTTTATCTTTTGATTTTAAGAAATAAAATTAAGTTATCTTGTCTACTGTAAAAGTTGAGTATGTTGCTGTAGGAAGTTATCGTGCTAAAGTTCTATAGATAAGACAAAAACTTGCTGATTGAAATTAAAAAAAAAAGTGTTCTTATCATATATAATAACACTAGTGCTATCAACTTGAACAAAAAGGTCATTTCACAAAATAGACTTCAGTAGCATTTAAACATTTTGATAAAAGTTAAATAGTGAAGACAAATAAATAAGTAGCTTGTCTATACTAGTTTGAGCATTTTGTAAAAAGAAGAGTTGGGAAGTGTATTAAGAGCTTGAAAATTTCAATAACCCAATTCACCTCCCTGTTGTCTCCACCTCCCTTGAGTTGTTGTAGACTCCGACTAATAAATTCGAAATATATAAAGCTAAG